TGGTTGCACGCTTTGGGAAGACAGAGCGGTCGAGAGGAAGAAGTATATGTCCTAGCCGTTGGATGAAGATCGCACGGACCAGATTCGTCGCCGACAGAAATGCAGTTTTTAGGCGCTTGATATTTTTTTTCAAACAAGATCTCAATTCTCCCATACAAGGTGGCGTGGCGGTGACACCTGCTGCATGCAGCCTGCAGGGTACTGCAAACCGGCGGAGCAGGAGGCGCGGTACCCGTGCTGTGCGTCCAAACTCCAAAGCAAGCCGTGACAGGAGAAAGAAGGGGCGCGGGCCGTGCTGCAAAATTCAGCCCGTGTTTAGTTCCAAAATACTTTCCAAAACGTGCTACAGTATCCATTACATTAAATCTTACGATACGTGCATGGAGTATTAAATGTAGACGAAAAAAAAACTAATTGCACAGTTTGGTTGAAAATCGCGAGAAGAACGTTTTGAGCCTAATTAGTCCATGATTGAACACTAATTGCCAAATAAAAACGAAAGTATTACAGTAGACAAATTCCAACTGAAAATTTACGATCATTTACGACAAGCTACAGCCAAACGAGGCTGTATATTTTCGTGGGCCAGCGTTGACGGGCCATGCAACGGGATTAAGGGGGCTGCTGCGGATCTGTCATCTGGCGTCTGTCTGCCGGCGGAGTGGTATGTGTACACTGTTCAGTTGGTGGAGATCCACCAGAGATGCCTCTGCGCGGTGCTCGGTGGCGGCGCGGCGTCGTTGGGGGGTCGCCGCCCGTCAGGCGTCAACGCCGCGCCCACGCGGGCGCTCCAGCTGCCCGGCAAGTGCAAGATCCAGACCCCGCCTGTCAGCCAGTGCAACGGTAACTAACAAGCTCCCGAGGCGACATGCGGAATGACAGGCATCTCCTTGGTCAGATGGCGGTGGCGACGCCTGGTGCTGGCTCTGCCTCGCCGACGACCGCCACCGAATTTCCCACGGCGCAGCCGCCAGTTTACGTAACAGCAGGTGACCACGGATGTGACAGTCGCAATCTGCGTAGTTCGTACGAGCTACAGTGCAGTGTTTCCTGGGTTCAAACTCGTGCCACGTTTCATGAGATGATGATGAACAACTGACATGACTGCACAGCCCGCACTTACGTATCAGTTGCTCATGAGCGTCTGTGTGTCTTCGGTCTTCAGTCTTCACGCAGGGACTGGATCGAAGGCGACTCCGGCGACTGGTGCCGTCTCATCACTCATCACACGCCAGTGTAACCAAATCCAGGGTGGTCTCGTCGCAACTTTGTCGTCCCTGATGGCTTTCTAAGTTGACTTGAACGCTTGTAGAGATTTCTAAGTTCAGTTACATGTTTAAAGTTTTTTTTTTCTTATGTATATAAGCAGGTGATTTTTTTTTTTAAAAAAAAGGTGAATTGTAATTATCGACGAATTGTTCTTTCTCCCTGAAAGAGTGAACAATGGAGCCAACAATCTCATCTGTGTTGATCTCTCAGTACTTGTACATGTTACAGGCAGGAACTGCCAGCGCGAGGCGCGGCTGCAGCCGAGCGCGCACCGCGACGTGGGCGACGTCGTGGGCTTGACCAGCCCGGGCGCGTGGACTATGCAGCGCGGGAAAAACCTCGGCTACGCTATGAATTCAAATACAAGCTACACACTTTATCACTCCCTTTGTATACAAAGACAGACACCTGTTGACATGTTGCGTGGCATTTCAAGAAGACTGACACATATCTGAATGTACATCAGACTGAAGTACATCAAGCGTGAACATTAACCGATGCGTACAAGCTTAGCAAGTCCTCAAAAGTCAAAACAGTCGAAATAACAACTCAATATCACACACATATGTATCTTCTCAACAGCACCATGCATTACAAATACAAGGCGAAATTGACGACAACCAAGACCGTCCCAGGAAAGAATCAAGAAAGAATTGAGTGGCTGGAGCCTGACACGAGCCTTGAGCAACCAAACCCTTCCATTTATGCTTATAATAGGGCATAGAACTCTTTCCATAAACAGGATGCTGCAAGCAAAGGCCACCAGGATTCACCACCATGGCCAACCACCTGTGTGGCGCCAGGGAGAGCATGGCAGCTTCCAGGTATAGTAGGATTCCAACAATCCGGCATCACCACAACATTGCCCCTCGTTTCTCATCCATACAACCTCTCCACCGATCCATCCAAAGTTTTCAACGTCGCTTCGTGCAGCTTGACGATGGCTGCACGAACGATGGGGCCCGTCTCGGTGATGACCAGTCTGGTGGTGGTGCTGGTGGCGCTGGCTTTCTCCAGGGCTGCAGCGCAGGGCAATGGCTGCTCGAGCGTGATGATGACCCTCTCCCCGTGCATGGACTTCATCTCGAGCAAGGCACCAGAACCAGGGATCTCCTGCTGCTCGGTGATCGCCGGAGTCGTCCAGACCGACCCCCGTTGCCTCTGCATGGTCCTGGATGGCACTGCGACGTCCTTTGGCATCTCCATCAACCAGACGAGGGCGATGGAGCTCCCTGGAGTCTGCAAGGTCAAAGCACCACCAATCAGCCAGTGCGCAGGCATGTCAAGTCATCATGAAATGCAAATCATTATCAATTTATATTTGCCCCTTTAAATTCTTACCTGATTTCAGGCGTCCCAGGAGCACCTGCACCAACACCTTCCAACGAGGCAGCAACAGCAGAGGGGGAAGAAGTTGAGGCAGCAGCAGATTCCCCATCAGGTGAAGTCATTGGTAAACCTATATGTTCTCATTTAGATGCTTCTGACCAAACAGGAGTTGGGTTATTCCAATACAAAACAGAAGACCAAATTTTACATCTGTAATGGTTAAAAGAAAAATATGGTTTGTTGTGCTTGTGCTGCAAAATAGATGACTTCTTCTGCTGCTTTAGGACTTCAGATGGCCATGCAAAGAATCCTTGTACCATGTACCACATGTCCGTACATGATAAAACTTAGCAGCACTTCAAAGGTTACCTGCAGTAGTTTGAATGCTTACAAATTATGACATTTCAGTGCAGCAAGATGCATGCGATGGTTCTTTTATTTCAACTTGCTAAGCATACTAATAGGCATGAAGGCCTGGTTATAAAAAAATATATATGAACTATCCTGACAATTATATTTGATTTGATGCAGGAAATGGAACCTCAAGCTCCACAAACTCAAAGAATGCAGCAAGTTTAATGGCAACAATGCTTATTCCCACCTGTGTGTTGCTCTATGTCTTCTAAGTGTTGATACTTCTTCACTGGCAATGTCACCATGCAGGAATCAGGTCTTTCCTGAGCCCTGACCATGTACTTAACCATGATTCTCGGCACATTTTTGTACAGTATGGGTTTCTTATGTATCACAATTTCATCAAATTCAAAAATCAATTCTCAACAATTTCAGCGGAATCTTGCATATATTTTAAAATTTGTAGTCCTACTTTGCTTTCAAATATATTACGTTGCAACTTGTTGACATTTTCATGTATATGTATAATGAGACTTGGCTTGAAACCATAAATTGTATCAAACATGGAGTAACATGTAAAAGATAGCCCCACAGTGTGCCATAACTTTTTCTAATAGCATGCATTCTACAAGCCAGTCTAGCCAAAGGATTTACAGTTCTCAAACTTGTGGTATAAAGTCCAGAAAACATATCCATATGGCATCAGTCACTTAATGCTACGTGGAACTAATTATCATTAAATAAATAATAGAAGTAAAAGCAGTGTCCATGGTAAACAATAAACAATCTTCAGAATAAGAAAATGAACTGTAGCATGGTAAATGTAGCATTGCCAGCGGTTGATTATGCGGATTGTAGAGACTATCTCAGCATTTTATTGCCCTGAACAAAAATGCATGCTAGATTGATGAGCTGATTTTCTGTTATGACCGGCGTCACATATACCAGGAGGAGGCCCATTAGTGGCTGAGCTTGTGCGCCGGCATTAGAGGGCTAACATCCCATATTATTTATTATTTAGCATATTTATTAGATATATCCATTATTTTTGAGAGCTATATATATGGCTTGTAAGACATTTGGATAATCAAGCAGAAACAATATATTTGTTTCCGGCTTCCTTAGGGAGCCGGGAGATTTGCCCTAGCCGCCGTCTCCTCCCTGCTCCTCACGTTCATCCTCCACCACGGCGCCCAGCCGCCGGCAGCGAGGTCCCAAGCCTGCTCCACCTCCCTCTCACCCCTACAGACTCCGTGATCTACGCGGTAGGATCCGTAATCCTATCATTTTCACTCATAAATACCTGACATTATGCATTACTAGCTAGCTAGCATAGCTCTCAACAAAACGTTAACCATCGTAGAAGGAATTGACAGTTATTTTCTTTATTTGAATTGTGGATGAAGAATATATAACCGCCAAGAAGCCGTCCATTGCAACAACCAAGTTAACTGTTTTATATGTCGTACTATGATTATAACCCAAGAAGCTAATTAAGACAGATATAGCCAGGTTATTACACGGGACGGGACAGAAGAAGCAACGGAGCTGTCAGCAAAACAAATTAATCGCCAGGGAAGTGTCATCGACCCGTTGGAACCTGTTGGGCTTGGGGGCGCGCGACGAAGCATCAGGGGGAAACACGATGTGGCTGCCACCTGCCATGGATGCCTCCCTGCGATGCGGCCCTAATGCTGTGGCAAACTTCACCTCGCTTTTATCAGCTGCATAGAGAGAAACAACGAACAGTCCATTCCTGTGGCGCTACCGATGCCCTTTGCTGCTGCTAGCTGCAGACGATCGAGCGGCTCCCCCGCGGACGAGTGGCGCTACCTCATCACAACAGCATGCTCGATTTAGTACTGTGATGCGCCTCTGATGTTCCTTTCTGCTGTATAAATAGACCCGAGTGTCACTCCTGCTTGCCAAGCTACATCAGCATCAGCTGCAGCAAGAGTATAGAGGGATAGCGTGGCAAGGGCTGCAGAAGCAGCCTTAGTTAATTAGTTAGCTGCTCGCCAGGGACGACGGCGAAGCGGCAACGACCAATGGCGTCCTCCAAGCAAGTGCTGCTCCTGGCCGTGGTCGCCGCCGTCGCGTGCCTCGCGTCGCTGGCCTCCGCGCACGCAGTGGGTGGTCGGGGACGAATGCGGCTGGAGGGCCAAGTTCAACCAGACCGGCTGGGCCGACGGCAAGACGTTCGTGGTCGGCGACACCCTGCGTACGCACGAGATTATCGAAACTAACACCATCACCATGCACACGCACTTAATAACCCCCATTATTGTTTCGCAGTGTTCAAGTACCCCAAGGGGAAACACACAGTGGTCCAGGTCGGCGAGGAAGACTTCGCTACTTGCAACCATGACGACGATGACGATAACCAGCTTGGGGCCTGGTGCTCCGGCAACGACGTCGTGCGGCTCGACAAGCCCGGCAAGATGTGGTTCATCTGCACCAAGTGCAACCACTGCCCCAAGGGCATGAAGCTCGCCATCGACGTGGTCGACGACGACGACGTCGTCGCCCCACCCCCGCCGCCGGTGATCACGTTCCCGTTCCCAGGAACCGCCACACCCCCACCGCCACCGCCGCCGCCGAGGTCTGCTGCGGCCGTGAGGAACCTGGTCGGCGGCGCGGTGGCCACAGCGGCAGCCACCGTGCTCGCGGCCGCGCTCGTGTTCTAGGGCTGCCCTCTCCCTCCCGCTGTGACCGTGCATGCACATGCACGCGTTGGAGCATTACTTAGGGCTTGCTCGGTTTGTGACCAAAACTTACTATGCCAAAGTTTTGGCAGTCAAAAATTGGGAAAAAAAGCCGCCAAAGATTTGGCAAGCCAAATGTGAAAAGTTGGTAAGTTTTGGTAAGCAACTAAATACTAGCTAAAATCATGACTTGCTAAATTCTTAGTTTGGTAAATTTTGGAAGTGAACCAAGCACGCCCTTGCATTGCATGACTTCGTTTCCAGTGTGGTGGGAGGAGCACTGTTTTCGGTCTGGATTTATTTACTGCTGCTGTTCGTGCTTGGACTAGGCAGCATTAGCAAGAGAGTTTAGAGCTATATTTATGTATCAGGGGCCTGCCTAGTCATGTGTCTCACTCAAGGGTGATCCTTTTTTTTTTTGCGAATGTGTTTCAGGTGATCTGAGTTTGTCAGTCTGCTATATTACTGGTCGGCATTAAAAAGTCCATTCTAATAAAGTTTAACTCTTCCTGTTTTATTGACTACAGATATAAAATCAGAGTGTGCGTGCGCTTGTGCAGCGAATACTCTCTCGATTCCAAGTTATAAGTCATTTTGGCTTTTCTAGATTCATAGTTTTTATTATGCACTTAGATATACATGATGTCTAAATACATAGAAAATACTATATATATCTAGAAATGCTAAAATGTTTTAAATTTTTGGAATGGATTGACATTTCATATATGTTTTACAATCCATGTCCATTTCATAATCGAAGTCCATAGCAGGAGTAACTGCTACTATGTTAGCTCTGCTCATCAGGCGATCGACAAGACGTTAAATGCAAAGTGTCCAATATGTGTACAATTTAGTCACGGTTAGGACATTGATGAGTTGTAACAGATGTCAAGGACATAAATTTGGATCATATGGATCCTCAGAGCATCTACAGCAGAACTAGCTAGCCCCCTAAACTAAAATTTGAGGGCTTACACAAAAAAACACAATTCCAACAGGGCCTCTACTCAAGCCCTCAAATTTGGGTGGCCCTCGAACTAGCCCCGTTAGCCTCCATCCTGCAGTTGGCTGTTTTTCTCGCTCCCGCGCCCGCTCTCTTCCCTCCCCGTGCCCTCCACTCCCCAACGTTTCCACCAAGCGCCGTCCAAATCCAGTGAGGAAGGGGCCACTGAACACCTCCTGTCGCAGCGCCCCCTCCTCTGTCCAGATCCGGCGGGAGCCACTCCCTCTCCTGTGTTTGGATCCCGTCGTGGCGCCCCTCCTCCTGCGTCCTGCCTCCTTCTCCCTCGCTTCCTGTCGGAGCTGTCACTCCTCCCAGGCCGCAACCCTGACGAGCCTAACGGCACGTGGCTTCCCTGAGAAACGAACAGAGTATGTTTTAACCCCTAACAAAAACATAAACACACACACACAAAAAAGGACAAATACAAAGAACTGCGGTTGTGTAAATTTCAGAAGCCCCTTAACTAAAACTGCTCAGAGTTTAAGATCAACAAAACAGAACTTATCATGGGCTATTATACTAAACCCCAATCTATACACAAATGCAGTTTTCTTTCGAACTTTGAAGTATAAAAGGCATTTTCTCAGTTAGCTCCAGATCACGTAAAGTTCCCACCAACTAAAAACAGGAGGACAAGGTTACCGGTGGTTGATTTGGAGGGGTTCAGGATTAGGTTGTCTAATGGTTAGTCGATAAGGCTATACTTTATTGCCTTTGGTTCCTAAGAAATCACTGTTAGTTGAATGGCATTCTCTTGCTGTTGTGCTAAGGTAGGCCTGCAGAAAAGTATTGGATGTGTTCAGAGTCACCACAAAAAAAAGTAACCAACCTCCTACGTGCCTGAGATGACTAGTACCACTCTAAATCAGAAAAGTACAGGCAAAACTGTGAGTACATATAGTGGAATGGGCTTACTTCAATTTCATCTGACTGGAATCAACAGTCAACAGCAAAAATAATGCTCCTAAGTACCAGTACCTAAAAGAACATCATATAATAAGAAAGCCTACTGAATCAGCACATCACCGATTTCCCAAGGCAGCATACCTATGCATTTAGTGACAAATGTACGCATTCGTATAATCATTTTGAGCTTAGGATAAGGTACGTGAGCAAAAAGGTTACAACGCCAGATTTGATCATGCCCTGACACAGGAAAAGAACAGAGGAGCGGAAGAGCTGGCCAAACTTTTCTCCATTTTCACCTGCAGCCTATAAGTCCTTACATGTTATCTTGTTCTCTCTATCTATGCACCAAAAGTTTTCATAAGTGTTGGCAACCAGCGTTCAAATGCTTTAAAAACATTGTTGGGAAGAGATTGGCAGTGAATTTAGAGATGCAGATTGTTGGAACATTTGAAAATTAAAATGCAGTGTAATGTAAAATCAGTAATGCATGCTTAGCTTTTGCTTGAAAACTCGCAAGAGAGCAATAAAGATTATAAACAGTTTCACTTCATTGGATATTAGCATCTGTTCAAGCAACATTCTGATGAAATATTCATGGAACATTCATTCAAAGGACTTAAAGAGCAAAAGAGGATAAAACAGTGATTCACAAAGAAAACTTATAGAAAGCAACCTCACAGAAGCCCATATAGTTTTATGGAGTAGACTCGTTTCTGAAAAAGTTTTCTGAAGCTAATTAAAAAAACTCTGAAATATCGCTTGAAGCATTTACACTGCTGCATTAAAGAATATTCAATCTTAGTTATTGATAAAAATTACAGATCACGATTGAGGACAATATAAGATAAGAGAACTATCATTATTGTACCTGTAACAGATTCCATCATCGCAATCCAGTTAATTCTATTATCTACTTGCATATCAGGCTAATCATGAAACTAAACAGAAGTTCAATTTATCTCATCCAAATCTCTTATAAATAAATCAAGATCATCCAATCTTTACTAGACCAACTTAATATATTTTTGTCAGGCTACATAATTCACTCTATATCTGATAACACCACAAAATTCTAGACCTGCCTGTTGCACACTTATCAGGGTATTGAATTCATGCAATCAAGTTCAGGCCCTCTCCAACAACAAAAGGTCTCATCATATAAATGGGGACCTTATAAACCAACCTAAGTTAAGATATCAAATCATTCGAAAAAAAAGATACCAGTTACCAGATCATTCATGAATTTTGTTACATTATGCAACATCATGGCGCTCAACATGATGAGGACTGGCATTATCCTGAAGAACATAAACTCAGGCATGAGGCTTGGTCCTTGTGCTTTTCCAACTAGCTATATTCTATAGTAATGAACCATGCCATTTCTAGAGAATCTTTACTGAATTGCAATCAGAAAGTCTCAATACAATAACAGAAACTAAGGGAAATTGCATAGGGAAAAATGATTGATGATGCATCATCACAATCCCAGCAATACAGCAAGCTAACTTAGCTCAGTTGCTGAGAAACTTGGAAGCTTCAAGGTGTTGGAGATGTGCTGTAATGTTTTCTCTCATTACTTTGCCATTAGGATCCACCTGCTCGCTGTTTTCTCAAGTATAGCCAGTATCATGATGTTCCGGAAGTTGAACACTCGGAAGCAATTCATCATGGCAGTCTATGAGTATATTGTGAAGCAGACAGCAAACAAGAATTATACTTGGCAACTTGTTCTTGTCAGGCCTCCACATGACTTTGTGTAGGATCCTCCAGGATCCCTTCAGCCGTGCCAACGCATTTGTTCCAAGCAGCCTTGCAGCTTTTTGGCGGGCATTAAAGTTTTGCAATGGGGCAGACAGATTTTTTCCTTCATATGGAGTCATAAGCCATGAGAGTAGAGGATAACATGAGTCACCAGCAACGTATTCCCTAATCTCTGCACCCTCTGCTGAAACTTTGACAGGGCCATTCAAACGTTCCCCAGATTCACAGCGCTTGAAAAACCCAGAGTAATTCATCAGGCGTGAGAATGTCATGCTGCCAGGCCAACCAGTAACAATATCAATAAACCTCATCTGATCATCAACAACCCCTTGCAGGAACATACTGTAGTTCTTTGCATGATCACACCAATCTTCAGATGACTCAACAGCAGGAAGCGTCATGGTTACGTGGGTGCCATCGACACCACCACAACAATTCGGTAGGCCATAAGCATCCTCCAGCGCAGCTTTGATCTGCTCCAGTCTCTCTTGGTTTGGCCATGCCAGATGATGCCTAGCCCTATCTTCCATCGACTCGATAAACCTCCATGTCACTTGCGAAACAGTAGACTGACCCACACCAAAAGCAATCCCTACTGACACCTGGGAATCACCGGACGCAAGCCTCCTCATGGCAATTGCCACTTGCTTCTCCACACTGAGCAGCCTCCCCTCAATGTTGATCAGCCCAGACGGTGGCCTTGAGATCAAATCTTCCCTAACAATGGAGCAAATGTAGTCAAAAGTCTTCCTTGAAGTCCTGAAGAAATGCCTGAATGCTTCCCCCTCATCTGAAGGCACAACATGTTCTGCCCAAAAGAGAAAATCGAAATTTAACCACACACAGCTAGACCAAGATCATTTCACATCATAACAGAATCATTAGTACATTGCGTGATTGCAAAATGCAAACTCACAATTCCGCACAAAATCAGCCTAAAAGATTCGGCCTTTCGTCAAGACTAAAGACCAAGGCTGCCTACCACCCAAATCTTGGCACATTCACATACGGGCCTCTACCCTCTAGTCCCCCGAAAATTAACAACGCTAAAGCGCGAACCCACACCCATCTGGGCAAGCGGCGTGCCCCCGAATCAGCAAGAGGCGCGGCGGCCGCCGTAATGCCCGGCTAGAGCGGCCGCCTGTGCAGATTTGGTCGAATGCAGCAACCCGGGACGAAAATTCAAGAAAACGCCTCTGCTGCGGGGCAGAGGAAAAGAAGAATCGGAACAGATTGGGGAGGTGTATACATACTTAGCTCGGTTTGCTTGTTGAGGAAGGTGTACCACCACTCGGTGTCTAGAGCGCGG